TTAGAAGATTTGTAACCTCTGGATGACCGTTGGCAGGACTGAGCTGTGTACATATGCTACAGGAGACCTAATCTCAGCTGCTGGCGGGCTCATAGGCTGGCAAGTATGACTCCAGCATCAGCTCTGCTCGGGAAGGTGAAGTGATCTGAACAATCAGGTAGGTATATTTCCATTCCTTATCTTTTTGGTCTTTGAACATGTTAGCAAAAACTTTCCCAGCTCCATGGGGGCCACGAATGTAGAAGTTAACCTGTTTCGAAAGGAATGACATGTAGATCACAAATCAAAATCTGCATATTGCTCATAGGGTAAGGGAATAGCTGCCAAGTGTGAAAGAATTTTGTCAGTTTGCTAGTAATTGTTTTACCTCAACATGCTCCACTCCATCTTCATCAGAATATATTCTGTTGGGAATGCGTTGGCGAGCAGCACGATTTCTACTTTCTTGGCCATACCCTGTAATAGGATGTCCTATTCTCACCCTTACCTGATACACACAAACGTGAGCCAATAAACTTATAAGGCAGCTTTCATCTAATTCAATAATGCTTTGCGCATCAAATATAGCTGCTTCCTTGAATCAGCATAAAAATCACTGCATGCAAATAATTAGCTACTGCTTAAGAAAATGTTCCAATACAAAGATATTAATCTTTTCTTTAACCTGACTGTCGTCTTGAATTCTTTTCAGAGCTTTGTTGAAAATCTTATACCTACAGAGAGATAATGGTTTCAATTTCAAAACAGGTTGCATGTGAGGAAAAAAGACTTAATAGCACAAATTACTACCAAGCATAACTTAACATTTCGACTCTTACTCTCTAGGTTCAAAGATCAGCTCCTTGAAAACAGCATATGCTGCAGCAGCTGCAACACCAAGCCCTGCAAGAATTACAATACTGTAGCCAGCCCCCTCTGTAAATGTCACTGGTTTCTCAGGGATGTGGTATGTAGGAGAATCAAAGGGGTCCTCAACAGTAGACACCTCTTTATTAGCCTGCTAAAGTTGTACAGAACATAAGCATGTGTAACTGATGCATGAACTTTGAAGCAACCATAAAATTGTAAAGAATATAATTTGAGCTATTATATGAAATATAGCCAGTAACAATATGGCAAAGAGTAAGGCTATTTGAGATAATTTTATACGTTTAGTATTGTTCTCTAGCAGCAATAAAAAACATTACCAGGTAGATGGATTTTCCACAGTTAAAGATTTACTTGGGTAATATTTATTCTTCGCTTGTGCATCATTATAATTTCACCCAAGAATGTAATGAAATAAGTTGAAATGTGACTATCAAGGAAAGCAAGATAGCTAGATGGCTAGAGATACCTAATCTTTTTAATGAATCCTTCTTCAGGATCTTTACAACAAGTGACTGGTTTACCAGAAAAGAAGATTAAGCTTACATTTGCATATATGTCCCAACAATGGGGCAAACGAAAAGGTAAAGCAGTATCAGCATGGAAAACCTTTCTTTGGTTTGTAGCTCATTTGGAATGTAAACATTGAAGTCAAAAACTACATTTCAGATTCAGACCTCAGATTTTTCTTCTCCGGAGTGCTTTGAAGCTTTTGATGCAAAGGATCTAGCAAAGGGAGACATAGGGAGCATGCCATAGTTGTTCACATGCTGAAGTGGTGACTCAAAACCAACTAGAGAACATCTATTTTGCTGCCCTCTTACTAGAATAGAGGTTCCTGCCAAAAATTATCATCAGCATATCATCATGGATTCATGGATAAATAAAGAAAATAGAGAACTATTGTTCTTAAGCTAATCCAAAAGCTTATACCAGAAAAAAAAAATTTTCTACTTAAGCAGCTTTTATCCCATTTCAAAAGGCAGAAGTTTCTTATAAACATGATGCTAAGTAGATGTAAACTCACAACAAAATATGGTGCATGACACTCAATCAACATGCAGAGAGCTTATTAATACCAGCAATTTAATGGACCATAAAAAACATTTCTCAGCCTGCCAACAGCAGTGAAAAGTGAATTCATGAAACATGCATCAATATTTGACAAATGCTGGATAAGGCACTTGCAAAGAGGGATAAAAAGGATCAAGAATATTGTATATCAAAATAATTCCAGCCCAAAATTAAATGGTCACTCATTTGTTGTTCAGAGATATAATATGATATTAAGAGATTGACATTCCCATCCAACCTACTGTAACAGTAGGTTATTATATTTTCTAAGACTACTAGAAAATTAAATTCCTTGCAATGCAGACCACTAAAGATGGTACAAAACTACGTTTTAGTCAGGTAAATTTTTCTAGAAAAGAACAGCTACTTTGTTTCTTAGAGTTTGGCATCTACATGCGCACCCAGGCACACACAAGAATCCTAAAGATAGAAGAAGGAAAATACCAATAAGGAAGAAAAACCTTCAGTTTGCAACAGTAATTTGATTGAAAAGGGAAGGAGTGCAGTAGCACCACAGAAAAAAGTGAAATCAATTGCAGAGATTAATGTATAATACTAAACCAATGTAGGATAGACATAAACATCATAAAACTGATATAAAATATAATAAAATCAATGCAGTGAACACTAACCTTCAGCTCCAAGCACAACCTGTAGAATCAAAACAAGAAACAGTCAGTCAAAGTTATATATTGGGCGTAAATGCATATGAATAAGAACTATCTGGCTCAACCTAGGCATGTGATTAGCATCTGTTGTGCACACAGTCTTGAAAAACCAGACTTCAAAAACCAGACTTCAAATCGACTTGAATTCATTTCATTGACAGAGAATACAGAAAAAGATAAAATCTATGCTCCAGTACATATAAAACCAGGCCTAAAATCATTTGCCTCTATGCCCCAAAGATTAATACACACAACATCAACCATCAAGTAAGCACTAATATTGTACAGCCCAATAGCAAGCAGTAAAAACGTCAAGCAAACAGCAATGGGAAAGGGAACAATGCCCAAAAGACCAAGCAATCAAAGGACAAAAAAATCATACCTTTCTTGCAGAGGATGAAAACCCAGCAAAACCCACATCAGGAAGGCACTTAGAAGGATTACTATCCAAGAGGGAACGCAACCCATGCCTGGATTTCAAGAAGCAAAACCATCTGTTCCCAGTGGACACTGCCGACCTCCTAATGTGCTGCATCTCTGAATAAACGAACTGAAACCGGTTTCTCTACAATTCTATATGTCAATTACTCAATAATGGTTCAAGAAATTAGCCCAAGCATTGGGAGGGGAAAATCAAAACGCCATAGATGCCGAGAGAGAATGCTGCGATGAGGAAGCAAGAGCTGTGAAAACGAGTTTGGGGTTTTATTGCAGACACGTGTCAGATTTAATCGCACGTGTGGATAGTTGGGCCTTGGGTTCTTTTTCTTGAGCCCCAATCAGTTTCATAATTATGTTTGGGCCTTTTGGCCCGTAAAACGCACTTGGTTATAAGCCACACGTGCCCACAGGCCTAGGCGTCCGTTATTCTTCTCTTTCCTGTGGGTCGTTGACAGCACATTCCAACCAAAATCCGCTCGTTGGAAGGCAAGTATGGTGGTAAAAATAGATCCCCTAAATAAAGAAAGGAAATAAATTCATGGGTAAACTCCCATTTTGGTCCCTCAACTATTGTACGACCCTCGATTTAGTCCCTTAACTCAAAAAATCCCTGATTTAGTCCCTTAACTCAAAAAATCCTGATTTAATCCTTACTGTTTACCATTTTAACCCCAACTTAGACCCTCCATTAAAAAATCCCTGACTTTGCATTTTACTTGATGGAAGAACGATGACATGTCAAAACACCTAACACAACGTGGTAAAAAATGATGACATGTCAAATGAAATAAAAATTTTGCCCTTATAATTAAACTAAACTAAATTATAACTTTGTCCTCATGTGAAATAACAATTTTGCCATCATTTTCTTCCTCTCGTCTTAGCAAGGGTTTATGGGTTGAGCAACTCGTGAGAGTTGCACCAAGACCACCAAAGTTGAGCAAGTAATTAGATCTAGAAATCGAACTTAGTAGCAATCGAACTTAGTAGTTGGGTTGGAACCCAACGTGCTTCAAACCCATCAAGACTAGGTTTGATTAAATCCACAACTTGTTGCATTTGAACCAAGGTTGAGTTTGAAAGGAAACTAATAAATATGGGTTCGATTGAACCCAAAATGAAACCACATCCAATTTTCCTCATCAAATCAATTCATCTTCTTCCCCTTGATTTTCCTCACACCTTTCTCTTCCAGATCTACTTTTCCATCACCTCATTTTCATCATCAAACAACAATACCCATGAAAAAAAAAAACAAAATCATTTTTATTTTTTGCCCCTGGGTTTGAAATAATTCATCTTCATCATCAAACAATAATACCCACAAAAAAAAATCATTTTTATTTACCCTGGGTTCGAAAGAACCCAGCGTGTTGAGTTCTATCGAACCTAGCAAGCGCCATGGGGCTTGATTGAACCCAGCAGCACTTGTTGGATTCGATGGAACCTAGCAAGCGCCACAAGGCTCGATCGAACCCAAATTTGGTGTTGGGGAAGGGAGAGAGAAAATGAAGCCTGTTGGGGGAAGAAGATGAACAGCCACTGGGTTCAATCAACCCAAATCTGGAGTTGGGGAAGGGAGAGATAAAATGAAGTTTATTGGAGGAAGAAGATGAACAACCAAAGAGGCTGAAGATGAAAAGGAAGGGTAACGAAAGGAGAAAGAAAAGAAATTGATGTGTGGATGAAGAAAAGGGTAAAAGAGTAACTTTAATTTTATAATTAGTTTAAAATATTTTAATTTTTAATTGAAAATTACATGTTAAAACTTACTTGTCATATTGCCAATCTTATGTGTCAAACTATTTTTCCACGTCATCTTTTTCTGTTAAGTAACGAGACACGTAGCCAAAAATTTAACAGAGGGACCAAGTTGGGGTTAAAATAGTAAACAGTAGGGACTAACTCAGGGATTTTTTGAGTTAAGGGACTCAATCAGGGGTCTGTACAATAGTTAAGGGACCAAAATGGGGGTTTAACCTAAATTCATTCATAAAATTTTTTATTTAGACAAATCATCTTAAATTTAATGTGTAATATCATTTGACATTAATAATCTATTAATTTATTATGTCGCTAATAAATTCATTGTTAACAGATTGTTAACGTTAGATAACGTCCGTCATATATTAAATTTTGGGTAATTTCTCTAAATCGAAAATTTTGTGGGTGGATTTGTCCTTTTTTTTGTTGTTCGAGAGTGGATCCATCTCTATAAGTATACTTTGGAGGTAGATTTGTGTATTTTATCCATTGGAAAACAACAGTATTTTGCCTCATTTGGATAATGGTAGAGGAGCAATTATGCCTTCTTTGGATTTCATTTTTTCATGTTTTTTTCCATTAAAAATAAATCATGCCTCATTTGGATTTTAGTCATGTAGCACAAGAGTTTGGCAGAATATAAAGTTAGGGAAGTTTCTTTGAGTGGTCCAATTGTCACAAAGGTCAATAAGGAGACATGATTACACAAACACACTTACTTTAAGGGCCCATTTTGATATTGGTTTTACTAATAACTACTAAAAACAACTTAAAACTATTTGTTGGATCAATTATTTTTAAATAATATATCGAGTTCAAATGTTGTAAATGAAAACTATGGGAGAGCTATCTTTTTATAGGTTAGATACTGCTCAATTTTTAATCATTGAAGTCTAATCTGACTTCAGGTAATAAGAGGTAAATAAAAAAAAAAACTGAAATTAACTAAAAGGAAAATGTTAAATGCTAAATTTGGTCCCTCAACTTTAGTGAGTTGCACATTTTTGGTCCCTCAACAATTTTTTGCACTTTTTTGATCCCTTAACTATACAAAATGCACTCCGTTAGTCCTTCTGTTAGATTGGACCGTTAACCCTGCTTAGGTGGCATTTTTTATTTTTTTTTTTGATGATGTGGAGAGCAAAACTTAAAAAGGTGATGATTTGCATAACACTTTTGCCATGTCACATGCCACAGGGCGGAACCGCACGAAATCCATCCAATGGGTCCCACATCACCATTAAGAATTGCTTCTTTCCCCCATCGATTACTGTTTTTATTCTTTTCCGGTGCTGTTTTTATTCTTTTCCGATGCTCTTTCCATTTTTAAGGTTTAAGTTCAACAAAACAAATCCCACTGTTTCTATTCTTTTCCGGTGTTCTTTCCATTTTCAAGATTTAAGTTCGACAGAACAGAATCCAGCAAATACATTCCATGGAACTCAGCTCGATTCACTGAACTCAATTATCCAAAAATCCCTGCAATTTAGATAATCTCTTGGCAAACAATTATATAACCAAAAAAAAAAAAAAA